ATCATGGTGGTTTTATAACCAACCCCTTGGATACAATGATGGTTTGACATGCAGGGTCCAGGCCGCTTTTTGGCGTCACCCGCCTCGAAGGTCCTCTGCTTCTTGGCCGCCTCCTCCTGCCGAGCAATTCAGCAGCGGGCGTGGAGAACCAATGCCAGGCACTAGGTACAGACAGATGGCTGTGGGTCAAAACCCAGGAAACCCCTGGTAAACATCAAAATAGGTGGGGTACATGGGTGGTCATCCGCCCCAAAATGGAGGCATAGGTTGTGACCCATGGCCAGATGCGAACAAAAGATGAACCAGCTGCGCATCGTGATCTTTGCTTTCTTCCCATCCTCGCGGAAGCGCAATGCATCCTCCTCTGCCTCTGCGCGCCACCTGGGCGGTTTAGCCATCTTCTGGACAAAAGCCGCCCTTCCTCTTGGGCATACCTCTCGTGTTGAGCTTCTTATCTGGCTGTGGCTCAAAAAACCGGTACCAAAATGGCACATAGCAGCATGTGGAAACATGGACCAAAGCCTGCGTAACCCGTCCTGTTTAAGTTTGAGCCACACCCATCTGAATGGGATGCGCAGAAGTCGCTTGCCTCCTTGAGAGCTCGCGCCTCTCATCCTCAGGCACGGGCTGAAACCAAGCAACAGGAAGTGCGCCCAAAAAAGGAGCCATCCCCAGATCCCTGGAGCACGTTCCCGCGTTTGGGGCCTGCAGCCGCATGTGCTGCTCACGCTGCGCATCCAGCGATGCGAGGTTTTCTTTCCTGGCGAGGGCCAAAGAAGCTCCGCCACGGCCCCGTTCGGCCCCCTTAGATGTGAGCCACATCGAGGGAAAGCAGCATGAAACCAGTTTAACGTCTCTATGACCCTTTCAAAAATAGGGTGATTACCCAAAATTAAGCGGCCCTAACTCCATCTTCTAAGGGTCATGGAGACTCCAAGCCTTTTTCGGAAAAATAAACCGGGTCGAAACCCCGTGTGGACGCGGCGCCACTCCTCTCGCCAAACCTCGCATGACGCGGGCGACTTCCATCCCCCGCCTCAGCTGACGCACCTGCTCTTGCCGCTTCTCCTCGAGATCCTTGGCCTCAAGGACCTCCAACTCCTGCACCCCGTGGAGTTTCCGACGAGCTCGTGAGACCAGGGGATTGATATCGGCGGGATTGACAGATATCGGCCCCAGGCAAACCAACCAGCCCCCATGTCAACACGAGTATTTGGGGTGAGCAATATGAGTCAAGATGGCCTTCCTGATTTACCACCGCAGCACTGCTCGGCGCGTTTGGGGGGTATCGGGACAGCCAAAGGGTGCTGTCCATGAAAGCTAAACGGTGGAGGCACTGGAAAAAGCTTGGCTCCGCAAGTGACATGTCTTGCATCTGCGCTGTACAATTTCTGTCGCAAAAGTCGTTTCATCCGGCGCAACCAAAACGAACCTTGCCCCGTTCGCCGTGTTTTCCGTAGGCTGGACGAAATCCACTTCGCACCTAAGGTTTCTGATTCGATTCCAACGTACCAACAAACGTTCTCGTTTCCCATGAGTTAGCTGGTTTCTGATGACTCCCCGACGTAAATATCGAAACAAACGTTATGGTTTCATATTGGTTTCAACCATGGTTTCAAAGTGGCGCGAACGGATTTTGTCCGTCAAGCGGAAGCCTCTCATGCCCCAGCGACGCCGGCGATATGCCCAGCGATCGAAAGGCGCCTGCACAGCCGCCCACTCCAGCAGTGGGCCCTTCAGAAAGCCCTCAGCGCGGACAAGTCGGACATCGGACATGCGTGGCTTTCGTGGCTTTCGGGCTTTCCCTAGGCGGGTGTCCCTGGTTCAGTGGGGAACAAACACCCCCCTGTTACTATTGGTTCTTCTTAGATGCTGGGTCAACATTTGAGTCAAAATCAAAACCGAAAGGTACAAAAATGGTTAACCCATCACCATGTCAATGTAAAGAATTGGGAAGGCGGAGATGTGCACCCATGTATGGCCTGGGTTTTGATTGTGACTCACCTGAAAACTTGCTGCTGCGATAGGTAGATGCCCTTGTTTCCGGGTGTTGAATGAACCGGCTTTGCTTGGATCCCCGCAGAAAGGAACGCAAATCGCCTGGATGTTCTTGTTTTTCTTGAGGTACTTCCATTTCTCATTCCCTGCATCTCTCTCTCTCAGCAAGAAAAGGGGGTCGCCCTCTGACCAAATCGCCCCCTCCCCCCGCGAGAAGTTGTCCGAGGCCGCGGCGTTGGTGGTCGAGGCGCGAGACCTGGCGTCGAATCAATCCGCGTGGCTTTTGGGGGGCCGAATCGGGGGACTTGGGTGGTGAAACAAGGAGGGGAGGTGTCCCATTTAGCCACAAGAACCAGGGACCCCTTCAAATCCCAAAATCCAAACCGCCAGGGTTCTTGTTAAATCCCAAAATCCAAACCAACCAAGGGGGAACCGTGTCTGCCTTCGCAGATTTTGGGGGTCGCAAAGCGCTGCTGAAGGAAATTCCCAACGGGCCAAAGCTGGTTTTACCTGACGAGGTCAGGTTTGCGATCCTTGCCTTGCATCCTCCTCCAGCACAAGCTCCTGAAAGCTACGAACATCGTTGCGCTCTCGGGCTCCATGAACGTCTGATAGCTGAGTACCCGTTTGGTGGGATGTCAAGTGGAATCTATCCTGCCATGTTGGGAAGGTCCCCAACACTCTCAGATCAGGTTGCGTCCAATTGTTGGGGAAGAGTTGCGCCCTCCTTGCACTCAGGCTCGTCCCGGCTCTGCTGCCTGATGCAATCTGACACACTCACACCCACACACAGAGAGAACTAGAAAGAGAGAGAGAGAGAGAGAGATGCGCGGTGCCAATTCTCTTTCGAAAACCATCAGAAAGGGCATTTGCAGCACGAAACTTGACGGGAGCGCGCTGTCTCATACAAGGTACATTAACAACAAAACTCTGAAGTGATGTCCTGGATAGGCACATACATACATATGTATATGTACATAAATATATATATATATATATACATGTACATGTTTTTTGGGGGTACCATGTATGTGTATATATATATATATATCTACATATATGGCCATGGGTCAAAAGCCCGTGCCCCCAGTGAACGTCCCAATCCCCACTAAAATAGACTAAAATGGGTGGTGCACCTACCCCAAAATGGTACCATTGGTGTTGACCCACAGCCATGTATATATATATATATATATATATACCTGTCGCGCATGCAAAAGAAGCCGTGCATCGCTCCGCGAGTCCAAGCTGTGCCCCAGACCCGGTGCTCGGAGCCTGGCGAAAGATCTGGGCGCTCCGAGAGATGCAGGGCCCTGAGAAATGGAACGACCCCTTGCTTTATCAGGTTGGCCCGGCTCGGTACCCCTCTCGGTGTCAAGGGGTGCAAAGGGGGCACCGAGCAACGGGCAAGGGGACCGGGTGCCGAGTTGGCCAGGCTGGCCTTTTTCCGGAATCCCTAGCGGTTCATTCCCAACAGAAAGAGAAAAAACAACCTTCCAATCAAAACCGGATCATTCAACCAACACCCGGTTCCGGACATTCCCTACCTATCGTGCAAGCAAGTTTGGGCTCCCCGGAAAAAAAAGGCTCCCAAAAAGGATCCCGGATTTTTTTAATAATCCAAACGGACCCATCCGCGAAACGCTTGCAAATGTGCGAAGCTCAAGACGTGGCTCCACAAACGGATGACAGTTGCTTGGTGACTTGTCTCTGCTACCCTAGCATGTCTGTTTGCTTATAAGGCTCTTAAGAGGGTTTCCAACTGCCCCCCCCTTGCACTGCCCCCCCTAAGAACCCCAGAATTTGCTGTGTCTCCCTCGCGTCATTAACAAAGTACAGAGTACGTAACAAAAGAAGAAGAACTCCCCAGAGTGCAGTTCATGGAAGGCCCAGCCGCATCGACGATCTCGATGTTTTAACCAATGCACATACACAATAAAACCAACACACAAACAAACACACAAACAAGAAAACAAGACAGACAGACAGACAGACAGACAGACAGACAGACAGACAGACAGACAGACAGACAGACAGACAGACAGACAGACAGGCAGGCAGGCAGGCAGGCAGGCAGGCAGGCAGGCAGGCAGGCAGGCAGACAGGCAGGCAGGCAGGCAGGCAGGCCGGCGGGCAGGCAGGCAGGCAGGCAGGCAGGCGTGGGAGGGAGGCAGGGAGGGATGGAAAAGTAATATGCTCGCTGCCCGCCCTGCCTTCCGGGCTGGTCTTGCGGGCGGAAGCCTGCCGCTGCACGGTTGGTGGAAGCCCGCCCATGCACACATGCCCACCATGCTACAGGAATCATCGGAAGCCCAAGAAGTTGAAAGCAGAAATATAGCGCATCACGGTCCAATGTGTATCCCATTGCTCCACTCACCTACATCGGACGACCGCCAATGTCTCTCCCCTCCCGTGATTGCACAGCCGAATTTGTCTATCCCAGTGGACGAAGGCCTCCTGGGCGTTCGGCGGATTGGGCGCATGGATCCTGAGACGGGGAGACGTGCTGAGTGCCGGGCGCCATCCCGCTGAAGGTCAACAGACCCGAGGCTCCAGCCGGCGGCCAGGGGCGCGCGAGCGGGGCGCCGAACGGCCAGGGCCGCAGGGTGAGGAATCGATTTTCGGGGAGTCGGGGTGGGGTGAACTGAGTGAGCACGTCACAAGCCTTGACAATTACATAATTGGAGTTCTCGCTGGCTTTATGGTGTCACACCAGGGCATTGAACATTGCCCTCAACCTTTCTATTAAACCAAGCGGGGCTGCTGGGTGCTTTGCACGAGGTGCCTCTGCTCTCTACCCCTTCTGAGCGCCAGGCTTAGAGCCACTCAAGGTTCAAGCACAAGCAGCCCAAACGGGTGTGTGCCTTGTTTTTGAGGGTACCCCCATTTGGTTGGTTTTGAAGGGACACCAACAGCAAAACCCAAGGACACACCCAAATGGGCCCCAAAGGGCAAACACTTCCTCGCATGCAGAACTAAGGCAGCTTTGCTGGGCCCTGCACTGCGATTTCGGGAGCACCCAGTCGCCTAGTAGGGCTCTTGGTCAGGAGCCTAGCAAAACGCACGGGTCAAACGTTGGCTTCGCGTACGATGTACGTGAGCTACCGACAATATTATTTGTACGCCAAGGGGGTTTCAACCATGGCTTTAAGTGGTGCAGGATTTGTCCACCCACAGTATCAACGAGCATCCCGTAGTTTTGCAAGTTGCTGATGCCACGACGCATGGCTTTGCCCCGGGCCTCGCAACGAAGTCCTTCGACTCTTTGGAGAAGTTCTCAGAGGGGCGGGAAAGCTACATGCTGATCGCAACACTTCACACCGAGTCTCAGTGAAAAATCAATCCACCCAATGTGTACCAGGTCAAACCACCCCTTTACTTGGGGTCAACGGCGCTGGTCATCCACATTGGTAGTAGGGATCCTTAATGACCACCGGAATGATTCCTATTGAGGGAACCATAGGCCATAGGAGTTTTGAGCATGGCACATGTTGAGAATTCCTTGCCCGCACCAAGCTCTTCATTTTGAGCTGAGACATTCAAAGCGCCTGCTGAAATGCCACTGAGTGCCCAACTACAGGGTAGGAGACGCGGCCAGCAAGCACCAGCGACAAGACCTGGTTCTCCTATGTCGGGCGCAGAGCTGTGACGGCAAGCATGAACCGACCTTCCAGCAAATGGCAACATTTCCTCACTGCTCCAACGGAAGCTCCGTTGGAATTGCCGACAAGGAAGGACATTCCAGCAAGGAATGGAGTGTCTGAAGCTGAAGCCCCGAATCTTGTAGTCTTGCCGAAATATTATTTCATCACGAAAATGCTGCAGGTATCAGGTGTAACAATATGCGCGCAGATGATTCGACGGGTCAGAAAGGGTCGCTTGGCTTGGACTCGAGGCTCAGGTTTTTTCAATTTCCCAGGCCACAACTTCGAATGACTGAGGGCGCCGCGTCAGCATCGTTGAAGGGCGAGCGACCGGCCAGCATCTCATAGACAAGAACTCCGAAAGACCACCTTGCACGCTGACAAGGTGCAGGCAACAAAAAAGGTGGCTCGGAGTCTCTGGAGATAGGCCGAGAGAAGCAAGGGATGTGTCCCTGCACTACACAAAACAGGAAGAAGACAGGCACAAAACTGCTCAAGAAGAACAGCTAACGCCAATCGTTGCAGACTCTCTGAGCACCCCTGCCAGTCAACCATCAACCCATAAGGTTGTCTGTTGATGATCTCTGGAGCCATGTACTCCTTGGCAAAAAGCAATGGTACAACAGCTACAGGCACGAAGAAGCAGTGGCTGAGACATGGACGGTGGTACCACAAATCGTGGCCGTCTTCCCCGCCTATCACGGGCTTCCGGAAACGATGCTTCAACATCCTATGAAGCAGCGAGCGCAGCATCTCTTTCTCCGCACCTCTACCACGTATTACCCAATTCAACCCATGCGCAAGTTGGTTGTAAACGCTGTTGAGAGGCCTGGTCTGTCAGTGATAGCTGTCACGCTGGTCCATCGATATCTGCTTGCTTCCCTATCTGCTTCTCATACACACTGGCACACCAGTGATCGCGGCAATGTGTCGCTGGAGCAGAGACCAGGCATTCACCTCAGCTTGCGATAGTTCAGCTCCAAAAGGCCTTTGCCATCATCACGCCAGCTGTGCCATGGTCAAAACTCCCTCGAACCCTTAATAGGAATATATAGGAATCATTTAACGGTCATTCAGGATCCACACCAGGTGGACCATCCCTCTCCCCAAAGTAAAGGGGTCTCTTGAACATTGCACAGAGTCATAATCAAAACCCGGTAATGTTAACCCCGGATTAATAAACCCCTGGTTGATTAAAAGGGGGGTGTCCCCTTTTAGTGGGGATTCATCACTTTTGGAGGGAGCACCCCCCTAATAATGGGACGGGTTTATTAATCCGGGGTCAACATTGTTAAAATGGTAAACCCAGAACCATGCTTCAAGAATTGAAAAGGCGGATATCCGCAGCTAGTTATGGCCAGGGGATTGTCCCTTAACCGTCACTTACCCAGGTTTTGATTGTGCCTCATCTGACTCCGCACTTGGCCCCAACCTAGTTCGCTGGCCTTAGCGGCGACGCGCCCTTGCGCCTGTCTCAGGCAACCTGGATACGAGCGCAACCTGTCTCTCACACATAGCCCAAATTTCAATGCAAAATTTCAGAAATCCACGAGTCCACACACGAGTCCACACACGAGTCCACACGAGTCCAGCTGTCCGGAGTCTCCTGGATACTCTGCGCTTGCAGCTTGCCATCCGCCGTCTGGAAGGGCGTAAAGCTGACCTCGGAAACCGCTTCCGAGAAAATATCTTCGAGCGCGGGCGTGAGCGCCCGGATATTCTCCCCAAGACACGTGCATAACAAATATACACACGTGAAGTGGACGAGAAACCCAAACGGACCCAGCCAGACTCGGCTTGACTCAAGGTTCCCTTTTGTTGGGGGGGGGTCCTTTTCGTGGGGTTCCAACGACTTTTTTGGGGTGCGTCCTCACATTTGCCCGAAGAAACCAAGCTGGCAGAACAAAATCGATCTCATCACTCGCAAGCCTGCCAGCTATATGGCTATGAATTTTAATGGAGAACCCCTGAAAAATGGTGGGTAATAAAACTTCAATCCATATGAGCCACAATCAAAATCCGGGTAGATGAATGTTAGAAAGGGACAATCCCAGCCATAAACAGCTGCAGCCGCCTTTGTATTTCCCTACATGGTTCGGTCAACCATTTTTATTCCGGGTTTTTGATTGTGACTCATATGAATGTGTCTTTTCACGCCCGTCCCAGCCTGGCGGTTATTCAGCGGCATCGCACGGAAGGCCTCTGGCAGGCTCTTGGCGGAGAAGTAGGCCTCACATCCGGACTTCGCGCAAGCGGGACGCGCACCGGATTAGATCTGGGCCGGAAGCGAACCGGACCGGCAAAAAAACCATACTTCCGGCCGGGTTCGTGCAAAACAAAGGCCAAAGAGGACCCCCGAAAAAGCAGACACAAACAAAAACCGAGAGCGGGATTTGACCGGAAAAGGACGAGGCAAGATCCTCGTGGGAGCTCATTCGGGGGAAGAAATATGGGGGTTGATCCTAAGCATGGACCAGTGGTTGGAAAACCAATAAGATGAGATTTCACCCATGCGAAAGTTGCCCATGGTCCCCCCTTAAATGGAATATTGACCAACTCCTGAATATGCGTGTAACTTCTTTTGTTCCTGCAGAACCACGTCAGGGGTTGGGCTAAATGTCTATTCCCGGTCTGTTTCGCTTTCAGGCTTCCACCGCGCTTCCGATACAAAAGGCGCTATCGAAACACGTTGGCGCCAAATGACGTTTTCTCAGCCCTAGCGGCTGAGCGTGGCGGTTGTTCAAGTGTAGTACAAGTGTAGTATGCGAAGTACACTTCCGCAGCTCCGGCTCGCAAATCGCAACTTTGTAGCACAAGTGTAGTACGCGGAGTACACTTTCGCAGCTCCAGCTCGAGAATCACATTTGGACCTTTAGAACGACTCCCACATACAAAGCTTCCGCGGAGCTTCCGCAGAGCTTCCGCGCTGCAGACAAAAAAACACAAGACGTTACATATCATTCTGATTTCATGGGATCTAAACACTGTCCACCTTTCAGTCACAAGCTTCCGCCGCGCTTCCGCGGAGCGTCCGCGACTCGAACCCTGCACAAACCGCCGAACAAAAAGCAAGCCTCAGTCTAAACAAAGCAAGGGTCTTAGAACGACTCTCTAACACTGATGATTCCGGTTCAATGGGTCACGTGCCATGGGCTCGAGAACTGCCCTTTCCGGCTCCGAGTTCCCCTGCATCGCCCGGCAGCGCGGGGGAACCGATGAAGCCGAACCCCTCGGATCTCGTATGCAAACATGGCGCATGGGAGCTATGGACAGGCCTGCCTGGCCATGATTTCCCGGCCAGTTGCAGGCCAGAAACGGGGGGTTTTACGGAAAAAGCAACATGCAGACAGATCAACTGGATGTCATGTCTGAGTCAAATCCTGGAAATGAGAGCAATCCTTCTGGCATTTCGAGTCATCACGAAATCGCGCCTTCTGTGGGTTGAAAGACTTGACCATGCCCATCAGTCGATCTCCTGCACTGAGGCCAAGGGACCGTGCTCTCGAAAGGCAAAAGGGACACGTCGACTGTTAAATGGGTCTGGGTCAAAAATGTCGTCTGCGGGTTTCCCCATTTCCTCCAAACCATGACTCCTTCCTTTGCGATGTTCCCAGTTTCTCTTTGATCTTTCTTCAGTTTGCTTGTACAGTCTGAGCATCTGTGGGGTAACTGCCAAATTGGGTGGTGTCCTTTTGGTTTCCCTTTGAAACCAACCCAAAAGGGTAACCTCAAAAAAAGACAGACCCTTCTGTTTTGCGGTCCCCATCTTAAGTTTTGAGGACACGCGCTGCAGAGGGGTGGGTTGTCAACAAAACACGGTTGTGCTGATGACAATAGGGGTCATGATGTCAGAGAAAGGGGCGATAATACTGAGGATTCAATTTGCAAACTGCCTGCAGGACCCATTGATACACAAATGTTTGCTCGAGCTTTCGTCGCAAACAACTGCGCGAGTAATGGTAAATGCAAGCACATGCAAACGCACAGATTGCGGGGCAGAGCTTTGGCTTTGCACACTTTTTGGAATTGTAGCGGGAAATTGCGCACGAGTTGCGGGCTCATTTTCTCTCGGGCACTTCACCAAGCAGCTAGGCAACCTCAAAAAGTGCTCGAATTGGATTGGAGCAGAAAAAAAGAGGCTCGAATGCCAAAAACAGTCTGGAGCACTTATTTGTGTATCAAAGAGTCCTCCAGGTGTGCAATCTTGTCACTTCACGTTGTCGGTTTTGGGATTTAGACCCCCCATTTTGGGTGCTTTATCAACCAAAACGCGGCACCAACTCCAAAAAAGACAGACCCATATGAGTCAAAAGTCTACCCAGAACCATGCTTCAAGAATTAAGAGGGCGGATATCCAAAGCTATTTCTGGCCAGGGGATTGTCCCCTACTAACCTTCATCTACCCGAGTTTTGATTGTGGCTCATCCGTGAGGTCAAACTCCCGTACCCCCAGTGAACATCCCAATCCCCACTAAAATAGACTAAAATGAGTGGTGCACCTACCCCAAAATGGTACCATTGGTTTCGACCCACAGCCATCTCTTCCCCACGTTTCTCGGAGCCGAACCCGCCTGCCGGCGCCGGTGCCGAGGCCGGCCTAGGCACACTTTGGCTTCCTTTGTGCCGATTCGGGTTCGGACGGTGTGAGAAGAGGTCACAAGGACACCTTCCATTGCATATACTAGTAATGGTAATACCCAGAGCGTCCAGTACCTCCTGAGGATGGCTTCTGGGGGAAAGGGGTCTAAGTACCTCCTTAGACTTAGAAGCTACTTGGACCTCTGGGATAAGAAGAAGAAAAGAAGAAGATATTACTTGTATTATGTATTCTATGTAGATAGGACCCACATGTGGTTGCCTTACATGTCAAAGCGGACATGGGCTTGGCTGTGCTCAAGCCAGTTCCAGCGAGAACACCACTCACTTAGGCCTCAGACCGCTGCACCCGAATCGTGCCACCCTGAAACGACGCACGCGGCTCGCCGCTTTGGGATCTCGGCTCGGCTCACATCTAGGCTGGAAAACTCGGACCCCAGCGAAAGATATATATCTTTTTTGCCTGGTTGGAAAACAAAGGGGACCCCAAAAAATCGGAAGCTAATTCTGGGGAAGACATGTCACTGCCCCATGCCTGCGACATGGTGGGCCTCGGCCTGAATGCAGTTGCGACGCGCTCCCCTCTTCCCTCGTCAGCCTATGCCGGAACCCGTGGCTAACTGCTTCACTTCCGGGCCCCGCCTCTTGGCAGGAGGTTCTGGCGCCATCTCGCCTGGCGATCCGGCGATTTCGTCGCCGCCTCGCCGTCGCAGCGTGCCTGGCCGCTTTGCAGGCGGCATCGCCAGCCACTCGAGGTCCTAGGCTTCCGATGTTCCGATTTTTCGGTCACCCAATTGCCGCCTCCCCAAATGGCCATGGGTCAAAATCCAATAAACCCCAGTGAACATCCCAATCCCCACTAAAATAGACTAAAATGGGTGGTGCACCTATCCCAAAATGGGATCCCAAAACGGTTTTGACAACCACAGCCAAATTCCGCGCCTGCGCTTGCACCTTGCCTCCCACTGTGGCCACGGTGAATTGGAACTGGGCGCCCTCCAGGGGCTGCTCCTGGATGTCAGGCGGCAGGTCCTTCCGCTGGAAGTAGACGTCCTCCCAAAAGGCGAGGCCCAGAGGCAAGACTTGAGCCACCAGCTTG